CAAAGCTATGTGAAATATCCTTCGCCTTGCCAACACTTTTGGACATGAAGAATTGAGGGGTCAACAATTATCTTCCAACACTGATACTTAATCTGAAATACACTTAGACAAACATTAGTCCATTTAATTAAGTTATCATATATTATAAAAAATCCACTATGATTTTAAAACCGAGTAATAAAACCCGCCACAAGGTCACACAAATGGGGTTAGGAAATGAATTGGTAAGATCTTGGAGAGAAGAGCCAACTTGTACAAGCTTGTGGTACGCACACTTATCAACATATCACATCTGAGATTAAAATGCCTAGCTGTTCCATGTTGTTCTAGCCCTAGAGCCCCCGACCATGCATGATAACACATTTCTTTGGAAAACTGTACCATGCACAATCAAGAGATAACACATAAAGCAAAGATCTTTTCTGAAAATGCAGAGATTTTAAGAGATAACACATATCTAAAATGCACTATTTCCTTTCTGTTGGAAACCTACAACAATTTACATGCACAATAAAGAGAGGACAAAGGAAGAAAAGAACTTTTTTTGTTACTTGCTTTGGAGAAAGGAAGGTGGATAGATGGGTGTAGGTGGCTTAGAGCAACTCTACCAGATGTTGCATAAGTTGAGAATCACCATATTCGTTATGTAATTGATCGCCAAAAAATATGGATGCTGACTAGGGTGCGTGTATATCCCAACCTCCAAAATTTTCTCACCTTGTGGGATCCGAACGGTTAGTAGGACACCTCTTTATTTCCATTTATTTTCCCCTCAATATCTCCTCTTGCAACCGCACATCCAAACCTTGCTCTCCAAATCATCCACAACGGCTACTCTTAAATCAAGCCAGCCAGCATCCCCATGGTTACGCCCAAATCAACCTAGTCATCACACTGATGATTACTCCTACTGCCACACCGGCCTCGCTGCTCTCAGCAGCACGAACGCATGGTGGCGCCATGGGCTCAAGCTCCTATGAGTTACAGCAACCATTATCTCTCCAGGAGCTGCCTCCCAGGACTTCATCGTGGATGTGCACCACGCAGTTCTGCACCTCACTCCATCGGCATCAAGCTCCTATACATGAGCCACAGTGACCTTCCTCTCCCAAAGCCATGGTACAGAGCTTCGCGGGGGTGGCCAGCGGAGTGAGCGATGGCGTGATTGCGGTGGCAACGACTTGATCCGGCCGATGGCGACTCAATTTTGATGACGACAACGACTCGATTTCCGAAGGCAATTCCCAATTCCGATGAGATGGTTGAGGAAAATTATGGAGTGCTATCCCTCTCATGCTCCAAATATGGAGGGAGCTCCAAAAATTATGGCGATTGAGGGGTGGATGGCAGCTCTGGTGGAGCTGCTATTTGTGGTTTGTGCTGCATATGGCAGCTATTATGCAGTTTGGGTGAATATGGTGGTTGTGATAGAGTTGCTCTTAGCTGGAATACCTATACTGGTACACTAATATAAATCTGAATTTACTTTTCAAAAGAGTTTGAAATTCTAGCAACCTCTGGGTAACACCACATGATAACAAAGCGATTACCGGGATCCATGCATGCAAAATAAAAGGAGCAAGACCAAATTTGCCCATGTAAGATCATTTAACAAAGATTCCTTGCTTGTGGCCAAACCCATGGTCCAGGCCGAACCACGAAGAAGCACACGGTTAGAAGTCATAGTATTCATCCTCACACAAACCATGCATTTATCTGGTCGATCATTTAAACTCGACGCGCCACGCCCGCCATCCCGACGAGCGTTGCCTTCTAATATGATGAAACAAGGTTAAAATCATGAGAACAAGCGAAACAAACAAAAGAGCACCATGTCATGGGATTTTTAAGATGGCCTCTTTTTTAGAAAAGGAGGAGGACCTCCGGCCTCTGCATCTGGACAATGCATGTAATCATTTTATTAATTATTCACAGAAGACCTTATAAAATCATACAACAGTAAGACTAAAGCCACCGTCTAGGCAACATGTGTCGCTACTCCTATCCAGTTGATGAAGGGATGCTGATAGTTTACGCCTAATACCAAACAGACATCGCAGCCAAACCTAACATTTAAGACCTGATGTCCCAATCAGGATGCCTGCCGGGTATGGGGCACCCACCAGTCCGACGCACTCCTCAACGAGGACGTCTGCCGGATATGAGGCCGCCACAGCCACCTGCTACCAATCCATCTTCAGTATTGTACTATTGCATCTACCTTGCCCGGTCTAGCTGTCGTCGACACCAGCATGACGCCAGACAACGCAACCATCCTGCGCGTGTCCATCATTACACGCCCACCGGCGAGACCCCGATGCTCCATGCCGCTGAGACCCGCCGATGTCGACGTGCCAGATGCCACGCCGCTCCTCCATCGCAAACACCACCTGCTGCCGCTGGTCCCATCCCCTCCGCTTGCAGTTCCTCTAACCGACCACCCAAACACCCCGGGCGGCGCCTCCAAGAAGGGTACGACACATGCAGTGCCGCCCCCGCCCAACCTAAGGAGATTTTGGGTTTTCACCCGGGCATTGGGGTCGGGGTAGAGGGCAGGGACCTCAACGGCGCCTGCAAGTAGGAGAACGGCGACCCTGGTCGTCGCCACCGTCGGGATGAACGAGTCATCCAAAGTTTTCTCCGGTCCGATGTCACCTCTACCAGCCCCCGCGAATGCACCGGGGCTGACTACTGCGATCGTAAGCCACCAAGTGCAGCAGGAGAAGGCCTGCAGCGCGAACGAGATCCACCGGAACTCACCGCCCATGCGGTCAAGATGCCATTCATCCACCCCCCCCCCTCCCCCCACCGCGCGAACATCGCCAGCCGAGGGCGCCGTCGCCAAGCCTAACGGGGCCGCCGCCCCAGGTCCAGGATCCTCCACGATGACCGGAGTGGCGAGATCCGGCACTGCGCGGCCGACGCAATCGTTCAAGCCTGCCGTTGACCGATCCCGCCGCCGCCGGGAGCCCGCACGCTGTCGGGAGTCCCACACCCATGGACCTGGGCGTCTGTGCACCGCGGCGAGCCCGCCGCCTCCTGGATCCGTCACACCGCCGGAAGGGCCGCACCCCGCGGATCAGGACACCCAGATCCATGCCGCAAGGTCACTGAAACGGCTGAAGGCAAGAGTGATATAAGGGCTGTTTGGCTCGCGCCCAAACCCGCCCTACCAAATCGCGGTGTGCCAATTATTTTTTGAGGGGGAGGAGGGGTCCGCCTTTGCTGCTTCGCCTGCCTATTGACGAAGAAACTGAACGCGTGGCCAAAAAACCGACGTATATCCGATATCCTGGCCATGATCCAAACGCATGCCAACGCCCTCGGTCAACACGGGAAAATTTAACGTGGCCATAAACTCTTGGACAGAAGTGACGGTTTGTACAATGGTACGCACGCTTGTGGCCGTATAGCATACAAGATAGATGATGAGATCAAAAGGCCTACAAGTAGGGCTAGGTGTAGCGCCGCCGACCATCCATGCAGAGGCATGGACCAAAATGCCAAGGGATAACACTTATCCAACGACATGCCCAGTTTTCTTTCTTCCTTCCTTTTGATGGAATCTCCTTCAATTTGCACAAATTATTTTAGAGCAACCAGGTAACTCATTTCACTGGTAGAAAATCAAGTCACAATTAAGTTAGACGGAGCTCCGGCGTGGATTCCTGCCAGCTCCTTCGGGCAGCGAGGTTAGGGTTTCTCGCACGGCAATATCTGGTGTCAGGTTCTTCAGATCGATCCAAGGGTTCAGCGGCGCCGACTGCGGTTCCAAGGCGCTGGTCCTTAGGAGCACGTGCACGAAGACTTTCCGGCTGCCATCGAAGCGTAGCGATTCGTACTACCGGAAAAGTGTCGCTAACCGCTAGGCAATAGAGTCAGCTCACGGGGTGGGGCGGAACAGTTCCGGGATCTTATGAATCTGTGACCAGACGTGAATCTGGTTCAGAACCTGCAAGCTAGGTAGTTAAGGGATTAAGTAACTAATTTGGTTGGTGGCAGGCTCCACTTTTGCAGTACTGAACATGGTTCCGGGCACTCAAGATATCGCGTTTGTGGTTGGAGAGGCGTAGATTGTAGATTCCAGCCGAAAAGACCAGGAAAAGGTCAGGTCGGCTCCGGTATGGGAGCGGCGACAGCGGCGCGTCGACGTCTCGTCCCGGCGGCAGCAATGGTCGTTCGGTGGTCCATGGACCTTGATGTAATCTATATTATGTTTGTGGCGCTTTGTACTTCCGATGAATTTCATAATAGATCTGATCCTTTTCTAGAAAAAAAAGAGAGAGGGTCAAGAAAGCAAAGATCTTTTTCTCTGAAATGTACATATTATATAGTATAAGAGATAACACCTATCCAAAAATGCACAGAATCTCTCTTCTTTCCAAACCTACAACAACAGCAACCTACCTACATGCACAATCAAGAGAAGAGGAGAGGAGAGGAGAGGATAAAGGAGGAAAAGATCTTCTTTGTTGCCGCCTTTGGGAAAAGACGGATCATAGATAGATAGGTGTAGGTGTAGCTGGCTGGCCCATGATTGACAGCAGCTAACAAAAGATGAGGCCATGAGGTGATGGATCTCTCTCTCACACACACACACACACACACAACACACCACACCACACGTAGATGCAGAGGCAGCAGACACTTGCATGCTACCCACAGCACACCACACAGTTCTCCATCTGTTGCGCCACTGCAGTTGTAACCAACCGATCTGGCCTCTGGTGTCCGGTCCGGTCACCTTTCACGGCGGCGGTGGTGCTGGCGACACCAAAAGCCACCGTACCTGAAACGATTCCCCCTCCCCTCCCTCGCTTTCCTCCTCATCATCTTCTCCTCCCTCTCATGGCTATAAAGCCCACCTGACAGGCTGAAACCGACCCAAGCTGCCCGCCCGCACGCACGCTCGCTCCCTCGCTCGCCGCATACCTTCCCGTCCGCCGGCTCGATCGCCTGCGTGCCTGCGTGCGTTGGTGTGCGTGGTGGTGGTGGTGGCGATGGGGGGAGGGAGCGGCGGCGGCGGGGCGTGGCCGGTGGTGGTGATGGTGTTCCTCAACGCGATCGCGGCGGTGATGGTGTCGCTCGTCAAGGTGGCCATGAACGGCGGCCTCGACCCGCTGGTGCTCGTCACGCTGCAGCAGCTCACGGCCGCCGTCTTCCTCGGCCCCATCGCGTACCTCCGGGAGGGCAAGGCGCGGCCGAGGATGACGCTGGAGATCTTCGCCTACCTCTTCGCCAGCGCGGCGCTGGGGGCGGCGCTGCGGCAGTACATGATCTTCGTGGCGCTGCGCTACACCACGGCCACCTTCGTCACGGCCTTCTCCAACGTGGCCCCCGTGCTCACCTTCCTCCTCGCCGCCGCCACGCGGTCCGAGTCCCTGAAGCTTGGGACCGCCACGGGCGCCGCCAAGCTCGCCGGCACGCTGGTGTCGCTGGCGGGCGCCATGGTGCTCACCTTCTACCGCGGCGTGCCCCTCACCCACGCCCACCACCATAGCGCCGGCCAGCCGCACTACGGGTCCGCGCCGTCGCCGGCGGGCGCGGGCGACCCCGGCGCCGGCAGGAGGTGGACGCTGGGCACGGTGGCGATCCTGGGCAACTGCGTGTGCCTCTCCTGCTGGTTCCTGCTGCACGGCCGGCTGGCGAGGAAGTACCCCTACGTCTACTCCTGCAACGCCTTCATGTCCACCTTCAGCTTCCTCCAGGTCGCCGCCGTGGGGCTCTGCGCCCACCGCAGCCTCGGCCTCGCCGCCTGGCTCGTCACCTCCAAGTTCCAGATCCTCACCATCCTCTACGCCGTACGCAACCCAACATCCTTCATTCATCTGAATTACTACTACAAATGAATTGTCTGAAATGAATCCAAATGAAATTCGTACGTCCAGGGGGTGGTGGGGTGCGGGGTGTCGTTCGTGCTGCTGACGTGGTGCATCGAGAAGCGGGGGCCGGTGTTCGTCGCCGCCTTCGTCCCGGTGGTGCAGATCATCGTCTCCGTCATGGACTTCACCGTGCTGCACGAGACGCTCTACCTCGGAAGGTACGTACCACGACAACACCTCACCATTCCACTAGCGCACATAGTACATCCAGATTCAGAGTTTGGGACACCGAGAGATCCTGCACCATCCTTACCGATGGTCCAACTCCATAGTGTCCACTGTCCACCCATGATTGACTCGACACGGCACCTGACAACATAACGGCGCTTTTGCAGTGTGCTGGGATCGGTGTTGGTGATAGGTGGGTTGTACCTGCTGCTGTGGGGCAAGCGGCAGGAGGCCCTCCAGCAGCCTCCAAAAGTCGCAGAGGATGACACGGAGCAGCAACAACAACAACAACAGCAACACCACCACCAACAACAACAACAACAGGTGCAGGTGCAGATGCAACCCTGACCCTGACTCAAGACTGGGAAAGCAGAGGAGCGCTCCATCCATTGGGTGGGTGGGTGTTAACAAGTGCGGTGCAGCAAATAAGTTCTCCAACACGCTTTTCAGTTTTTTGTTTCCATGTTCTTGTGAGAGTGAGACCACCATTAATGGTGTAAATTAAGCTTCAGGGCACCTCAGTCATGTCATGAAGCTGCTTAGGTTCTGATCCGGACAACACTCAGTAGGATAATGATCTGAAGATTCTAAACCAAAGCTAATAGCAACATCACAGACACTATGTATACTAGACGTCGCCGCGTTTTGCATGTTTTCCGAGAAGTGTATTTTTTCGTGGGGACACACGTGAAATGTTCTAATTAACTGCAAATTTGTAAGAGCTATATACATGGCAATGGCATTATTTGAGTGAAATACTGTTGGTAAATTTTTAGCAGAGGGAATAGTAGTGTATATATATCTGGGAGTTGAAATAAACCCTTTATCTACTTTTATTATGTACGTACATCAATCTTCTTCGATCGCACGAATAGGGCGTGCGTCGGCACATATGCACAAGAATGTAAGACACAAGAATCAGTAGACTTCGACGTTCCATTGCTCCGACTTCTTCAGTTGCTTCCTGTACTCTATCCAGTCGATCCCTAACATTCAAACAACCCAAAATTCAGCACCACGTGCAATGAACTATTGCATCAACAAAAAACAAGCCAAAATTCAGAAGAACGCATTGTGGTACCTTCTTTTGCAGCCAGTGGCAACATGATCTCATCGATACCCTTCTCCATGCCCTTCAGCCCACACATGTACACGTAGGTGTTGTCCTTCTTCAGCAGCTCCCACAGCTCATCCTTGTACTCTGCCATCCTGGTCTGGATGTACATCTTCTCCCCCGCCGCGTTGGTCTCCTCCCTGCTGATCGCGTAGTCCACCCGGAAGTTGTCCGGCGCCTTCGCCTTCATCTTCCCAAACTCCTGATGTCCGTTCGCAAACACGGTGCAACCAAACAAGATGACGGTTAAGTGTCTGTCACAAGAAACACACTGGAGTAGCACTTGGAAGAAAAATCTCATGGAGGCTACGAGAGAGGCGATCGATGTTCCGACCTCCGGGTAGAGGAGAGAGCTGCTGGTGGGGACTCCCAAGAAGAGCCAGGCCAGGCCATTGAACTGCACAAGGGCACAAGGGTTCACACATTGATTCTTGATTCAGGTTTCTTGTGAACATAAGGTGGTATTCAGTGGCAGGTGGGACAGGGGGTGGCAGACAAACATCAGCAGCACTATGTATTAGTATTACCTTGTAGTCTTCGTACTTCTCGAAGAACATCTTCCACAAGAATGACCGGAACGGCGCGATGCCGGTCCCTGTCGCGAGCTGCAAGCAATTGATGAGGTCGAAATTACTAGTTGGCCATCAGTTTGTGATGGGTGAATTGCTGAATGCTTTAACCATGGGGATCAGGCTCACCATGATGATAGTAGCATTTGGGTCTTTAGGCATGAGCATCTCTTTGCCTACTGGCCCTGTTATGTTGACATCGGCGCCGGGCTTCAGGTCGCCTGCATTACCATGGACAAACAACAAACATGCTTAGTAAATGGTGATCCATGTAGCCATGATGAGATCCAGTCTTAGTAAATGGTGATCAAGATATAATTTATGATTCCAAATATATAAAGGTCATCAGCACAAGAAACACATTCTTGATGATCTGCAAAGTCTGAACTGAACCGACTCTGAACACTGAACACTAGCAGATTTTTCTTCAGAGATAAGTACAGGGGGATGCAATGCCAACTTGTAAAATCAATTGCAGAGATAAAACTCATGGATTCCAGTGAACAAAGAACAATTTTAAATGAGCCTGAGCTGACTAGTTTTAGTAAATGGTGATGCAGATATCCATTGGCACAAGAAACAGATTCTAGATGGTCTGCAAAGCCTTAACTGAACCGACTCTGAAGTCTGAGCACCAGCGCCGCCTTCGGAGATAAGTACAGGGGAATGCAACTAAACAGCACAGCGTAGAAATCTATTGCAGAGTACAAAAGAAATTGATTGCACTAAAGAATGGCATTTGGCACAGTTTGTCTAACTTAAAGTAAAATTGAACGATCCTGATTTCTGAACTGCGGAAAATCCTGAACTTAACTGAACCGAGCACCGTTAGTCTGAATAAATTTTCAGATTGTTCTAAGACTGAAGAGAAGAATGCAAATTCATCATCTCTGGGAAGGAATTGGGACTCACAGAGGAAATTGGAGCAGACGCCCTTGACCACCTCCCCTGCGTCGTTGGTGTAGACGAGCCGCTTGACGCACAGCGAGACCTGCAGCCAGATCGATCGATTTCAGTCAGCGAGACCTGCAGCAGAGACGGCGTCATGGAGGGGTCGAGCAGCAGGGCGTACGGTCTTGGCGTCGCCGAAGTCGCCGAGGGCGCTGCTGGCGATGGAGTAGAGGCGGAGCTTGTGGGGCTTGCCGTTCTTGTCCTCGCCGTCGGCGACGACACCGATGGACTGGCCCTCCTTGTAGGGCACCTCGCCCTCGGTGGAGAAGACCATGTGCCACGTCTCCCCGGGCGCGTCGTCCGCGGTGATCTTGGTGTTGAGCAGGCACTTGCCCACGTACGGCTCCTTGGGCCGGAACTTGTTGGTCACCACCCCCTCCTCCTGCTTCTTCGACACCTTCTTCTCCTTCACCGGCGCCGCCGCCGCATCGGTGGACACGGCCTGCGCCCGGACGCTCAGGCTACGGCGGGAGACGGCGGTCGTTCTTGCCGCGCACGGGAAGCTGCAGTGGGAGTGCTGCGGCGCGCTGGACGGCGTGGAGGTGGCGGCGGTGGCGGCGCGGAGGGAGACGGCCGCGGCCGTGACGGCGGCCATGGCGGTGAGAGGGAGGGAGGGGGCGTGGGTGGGGGTCGATCAAGGTGGGTAGCGGCGGGGGAGGTGAGCGGGGAGGAGGGATGGGAGGTTAAGGAGCGGGAGAGAAGGTGGTGGATAGAGTGGAGGGAGATGAGTGGAAGGCAGCGGAGGTGAGGATGAAGTGGTGCTCCTGGGTTTTGGAGGGAACAAGCCAAGACAAATCAAAAGGCCAAGGGCCAAGGCCACTCTCACTCACCCACCCACCCACCCACCAAAACTATCTTCTCTCTCTATAAATCTCTGTCTCTCTCTACGAAAGATTCAAGTGTCCATCGAATCCAGCAAGTATCTCTCATGGCCACAAAAGTGTCCCGGCCACCGTCGACATGGGAGCTTCCTCCCAGAGCCGAGGGTCCGCCGAAGCCAGTGTGGCGGCGGATCTCTCGCCACCGATTAGCTTGCCTGCCTACCATCGAGCCAACCTTCAAGCATTTTTTTGCGTGTGTGAATTAACAAGCATCATATATGCAGAGCGAACCCTGAAGTTTTCGTACTGCTCGTGGCGCCATGCCCACAAGCGACACAAGGTGAAGTGTTCAAAGAAATCGAATTTAATGATTTGCGCGACCATTGGCAAAAAAGTGCTCGCTGGCATTGTCGTGGTGCCAGGTCCTCGGTGTATGATACACGGCTTTGTCTCCCTTGATGGACGAAAGTCTTTAGTTTTCACCATTGTATAACACCAAAAGGTCGCCGCAAAACCACCCTCATAAAAACAAAGGATTCAAAATTATGATGAAAAGCCATTTTTATCGTGGTGGCCTCGAGATAGCTCAATTCCACCCGACCATATGCCTTTTAAATCATACCAAAAGTGTACCATAATGGCGTCCTAATTTCTCATTTCCTTCATAAAATGTAAACATTCATAAGCCGGTATTCGGCAAATGCTAGTATCTCATCTGAACTTGAGGCTTTGTCACAAAATCTCCAAGAGAAACACCACATGGACCAATAGGATTGAACAATGTGAAAAACTACACATTTATCTGCTTTTATTTTCTGAAGATTTAACTTGTTGTGTATCCCCTTTTTATCTATTTACATTTCCTTATTTTCAGAATGTGCAAATAGAAAACACCAAATATTGTGTTAAGGGCAATATACCTTTTTTTAAAAGCTACCAGGCTTTATTTATTGATCACCATAACTGCATTAGTGACCCATTTGGGCTTAACAAGCCTAACATGGTGGCCCAGGGAAATATAAACATTTTAGGAACTGTATTCCATATTAAAAATATTCACAAATTGGTTTAGAAAACGTTCATGTTTTTGAAAAAAATGCTCACTTTTTATAAAATGGGTTCTAGATTTTACATAAATGTTATTAAATTTCGAAAACAAATCACCTTTTGTATTTAATAATCATATTATTAAATGTTCGTATTTTTGAAAAACAATTCTCACTTTTTATAAAAAGGGTTCTGGTTTTTATATAAATTTTATTAAATTTCAAAAATTATTCACCTTTTGAATTAAATAATCGTATTATTTTATTAAAGGAAAACTAAACTTTATTGAAAAGCAGTAGAAACAACTCTCTAGCTATACTCGCTCCTAATCTGGGCCAGCCCATCCATTGTTCTCAGGAGCTACTTCTCGCGCGCTGCGAGATGTAATAGGTCCTGCTCTCTAGTGTAGTGCTACTACGCCGGCTCAGTACTGTAGCTTACAGGCAAGGTTTTTTTTTCCAGTGTTTTTTATCGTTTTTTCACTATTTTGCATCTGTTTTTCTATGGTTTTCTGCGGTACTCCTCTTTCCTATTTACTTTTCTAGTTTTCTTCAGTTTTCTTTTTTTTTCTTCATTCGGTTTTCATTGGGGTTCTCTGTTTTTGTTTTTAGTTTTTCAGACAAATGTCTATTTTTTATAGACATTGTAATATTTTTTGTGTATATCAATTACAGTTTTAATAACATGCTTAATTCTTTTTCAAATACATGACTAAAATATTTTCAAGCATATGTTTTAATGTCTACTTTTTCCACACAAATTGTCATTTTTATATACAACTAAAACATTTATACACGTCTTATATTTTCCAAATACATTATTAACATATTTTCAAATACATATTTTTAAATATGTGTTAAAAATTGAAATGTGTGTTAAAAATTCAAATACATGAGGTAACATTCTTTGAATCATAAGAAACATTTTCTAAACTATGCTAACATTTTATTTCATTTTTCAAACATTTTACAATTTTTTAAAACACTTGTTGAAACGCTATTTTTAATATGGCATACATTTTTCTATTCCTACGAATATATTTTTGAAATACACGAACATTTTTTATATTGTATAAAATTTGGAAAAATGTTGTATACATCTTTTTTAAACTCTTAATCTTTTTTTTTGATAAACAATTTTTCTAAAAGTTGAGAGGATGTTTTTTACACTACATGTGAATTTTTCATGATGGACACTTAGAAAATAAATTATGTAAACTGATTTTTTATTATATTTATTTCATATTTTTCTGAAGATTAAAAAGGAATAAAAACAAGTGGGAGATGTCAGCATGATGAACCAACATGACTATTGGACGGGCCTGCAAATGGCGAATAATGCAACTGTGGGCCTTTCAGTGGCCTATGGCACCACACAAACTCAGGCATCCCAGCCCATTGGGCTATCCTCTTCGAGCCCTCTCTCTCCGAGTGCCTACGTCATATTAGAAACGCAAAGTCATTTTGAGTGGTGATGGTACCTAGCGGTAGATCTCATGCCGCTTGCATTTTCTGAGATTCGTGTGAAGCTATGGCCCACCCAGATGTATAGTAGTAGTGTAGTTCTCGTATCTTTCTCTTTAGTCAAATCAGGGTCAGATTAATGGGCCCAGAGGACCACCTTTTGTCAGGGGAGATGCACATGCAACTCTCTTCTCTCTGTCTACCTCCCAAACAATGACCCTCGCCATCCGAACACAGACACTAGATCAAAGTGTCTTAGAGCGTCCTCACCGACTGCGATTTTGTGGTCGTCAAAACCGAACCCAAGCGGCTTCCATCAAGAGACAATAGCCATCATTAATATGTGCCACCTAATTTGAGATGGCGAGTCAGTGGAACGCCCATGCTTGGATCACACATCGATTAGCATGAGTCAACCGTGACATTCGCATCCGAAAGCCGATAGTCATTTGAAAAGACGCTAGCCGGCCAGGGCCAGAGATGGCAAGAGGCCAGATCATGTACACATTCTTGGTTGCATTTGGGACCTGCACCAATTTGTGAATGAGTCATCTCTATTTCTTAGAGTTCATCCTGTAGTTAGTTGATGCTACTGGATTGTTTGCTTTTGGCTTGTAATTTCGGTTATATATGTGTGAATATATAATGCTTGACTTGCATGTTAGGATCCCGTTAGGTGTTTATGTAGTTCTGACCGTTGGTTTGAGAGGGTCTGATATAGTAAATGTGGTTTCCCATGGTTTTGAATATCGCCTTAGGATGAGTGTCGCTGGCAACGATGATGTTCCTGTTGTCTTTGGCAACTTCGCACTTGTCGCACGCAGATGAGACTGTTATACCTGGTGGAATGAGCACCCATGTGCACAAGAATATTCAAGGAGGAGCATCAAGCTCTAACACTATGCCTAGCCCAAGAAGATCGAGAGCATCAACATGGCTACATTGAGAACCCAAGAGATGTATGTCTATGTTACAACGCATGGGCCCTTCTATTAGTGTTATCAACTTATCATACAACCTTCTTCATCACATAAACTTAAATTTCAGTGCATATGACAAACTTTATAACAATATCCCAAGATTTAACTTTCATCAATGATTAATCCATCTATACGGTCCAAATCTGATTTCGTAATTATTCGTCTCCGCTTCTTTGTGAGGTACGATACTCTATTTGTCCACGTGTTGCCCAACCCGCCCCTAATAAATCCCCCAACCCGACCCTGAAGCCCAACCCATCCAACACCAAAGCACCCATCTTTTCCTCTCTTCCCCCACCGCCGCGTTTCCTCTTCCTCATATTGCTAGGTTTTTCCTGTCGTCGAGGAGGAGGAGGAGGAGGAGGGGGAGGTGGTGGTGATGGTGGGCAGTGGGACTGCTCGGACAGAGGAGGACATGGGAGATGCGTCGACGAACTATGATGTCAGAGACGTATTTGTGAAGGTCGGCGTAGGAGGAGACGGGGAAGGGGCGCGGAGGAGATGACCCGAAGAAGGGGGGTCGTGGTGGTGTTGGACAACCGCGACGAAGAGAAGGCATGCCTGGCGTTGGGGCGAACGGTGCTGCAACGCCCACCACGCCAGATCAAGATCCATGGCCGACGGGAGGAGGCAGGGGAGTGATGGGCTGCACGAATGACGACAGACACACTATCATCATCGACTCTGATCCAAATTTGGTTGGGCTTGGTATTTGTTTTCATTACGGTAGGCAAGATATCCGTCCACGTGGTGGTGCCCCATCTCTAAAATCCCCTAAAAAATAAATAAATAGATACCCCACCCGGCCCAACCCACACCGCAAGAAACAAAGCTCCAATCTTTTCCTCCTCCGCCGCCGTCGCCGCGTCTCCTCCCCAATCCCCAATCCCCGATCCGTCCGCCCCCGATCCCACACCCCCAGCCCGGATCCAGCAGCGATGGCGGCCGCGGGAGACGCCGGCGAGAAGAAGATGGTGACGCTCAAGAGCTCGGACGGGGAGGAGTTCGAGGTGGAGGAGGCGGTGGCCATGGAGTCGCAGACCATCCGGCACATGATCGAGGACGACTGCGCCGACAACGGCATCCCGCTCCCCAACGTCACCTCCAAGATCCTCTCCAAGGTCATCGAGTACTGCAACAAGCACGTCCAGGCCAAACCCGCCGACGCCGCCGCCGCCGGGGCCGTCGCGCCCGACGCCGCCGCGCCCCCCGCCGAGGACCTCAAGAACTGGGACGCCGAGTTCGTCAAGGTCGACCAGGCCACCCTCTTCGACCTCATCCTGG